AAATAGCTGAGAAAAGAAGAGGGTGAAAGACAAAGGAGAAAAGGAAAGATATACCCATCTGAATGCAGAGTTACAAAGAATAGCAAGGAGAGATAAGAAAGCCTTACTCAGAAAATGAGAGATACAGGGAACATTTCAAACAAAGATGGGCACAATAAAGGAAAAAAATGGTATGGACCTAGCAGAAGCAGAAGATATTAAGAAGAGGTGATAAGAATACACAGAAGAACTAAACAAAAAAGATCTTCATGACCCAGATAACCATGCTGGTGTGATCACTCACCGAGAACCAGACATCCTGGAATGTGAAGACAAGTGGGCCTTAGAAACAAAGGTTTTGGAGGTGATGAAATTCCAGTTGAGCTTTTCAAAACCCAAGATGATGCTTTGAAAGTGCTGTACTCAATATGCCAACAAATTTGGAAAACTCAGCAGTGGCCACAGGACTGGAAAAGATCAGTTTTCATTCCAATACCAAAGAAAAGCAATGCCAAAAAATGCTCAAACGACCACACAATTGTTCTCATCTCACACAGTAGCAAAGTAATGCTTAAGATTCTCCAAGCCAGGCTTCAACATTACATGAACCAGATGTTTAAGCTGGATTTAGAAAAGATAGAGAATCCAGCGATCAAATTGCCAACATCCGTTGGATCTTCCAAAAACCTAGAGAGTTCCAGAGAAACATCTATTTCTGCTTTATTGACTATGCCAAAGCCTTTGACTGTGTGGATCACAATAAACTGTGCAAAATTCTTAAAGAGATTGGAATGCCAGACCACCTTACCTGCCTCCTGAGAAATCTGTAAGCAGGTTAAAAAGCAACAGTTAGAACCGGCCATAGAACAACAGACTGTTGCCAAATTAGGAAAGGAGTACATCAAGGCTGTATATTATCACCCTGTTCATTTAACTTATATGCAGAGTATATCATGTGAAATGCTGGACTGGATGAAGCACAAGCTGAAATCAAGGTTGCTAGGAGAAATATCAATAAACTCATATATGTTGATGATACCATCCTTATGGCAGAAAGTGAAGAGCAACTAGAAAGCCTCTTGCTGAAAGTGAAAGAGGAGAGTGAAAAGGCTGGATTAAAACTCAACATTCAAAAAATGAAGTTCATGGCATCCAGTTCCATCACTTCATGGCAAATAGATGGGAAAACAGTGGAAACAGTGACATACTTTATTTTTGGGGGGCTCCAAAATCACTGCAGATGGTGACTGCAGCCATGAAATTAAAAGACACTTGCTCCTTGGAAGAAAAACCATGACCAACCTAGATAGCATATTAAAAAGCAGAGACATTACTTTGCTGACAAAGTTCCATCTAGTCAAAGCTATGTTTTTTCCAGTAGTCATGTATGGATGTGAGAATTGGACCATAATAAAAGCTAAATTCTGAAGAATCGATGTTTTTGAACTGTGGTGTTGGAGAAGACTCTTGAGAGTCCCTTGCACAGCAAGGAGATCCAACCAGTCCATCCTACAGGAAATCAGTCCTGAATATTCATTGGAAGGACTGATGCTAAAGCTGAAACTCCAATATTTGACCAGCTGATGGGAAGAACTGACTCACTGGAAAAGACCCTGATGCTGGGAAAGATTGAAGGCAGGAGGAGAAGAGGATGACAGAGGACGAGATGTATGGATGGCATCATATTCGATTGATATGAATTTGAGCAAGCTATGGGAGTTAGCAATGACAGGGAAGCCTGCCGTGCTGCAGTCCATGGGTTCCCAGAGTATTGGATATGACTGAGCGACCTAAATGAACAGAACTTATACTAAGTTCCCTTGAGTTCTTCACACTTCTCTATTACAGTTCACTTCTATTTCAGGAGTAAATAATGGCACCCTACTTTCAAAGTATACCCATTATTTTTTCTCTCCTGCTAATCCCACTTGAAAGTACACTAGATTCTTGACCCTAAGCATCTATTGTTAACACTAGCCACAGTGATTTTGTGATTATGCTGAAGATAAGGTTCAGCATAGGTGAGACCATGCCGTTGCTCTGCTGAGAACCCTGTGATGACTCCCACCTCACTCCGAGTAGAAGTTACAACTCTTACATTGACTTAAAGAGCCCAGCATGATCTGGCCCCTTTTTACCTCTCTCCCCATCTCTCCTGCACTCTTGCCATCAAATCACCGTGTTTGCATCACAAGGGCCCCTTTACTGATCCTGGAACACATCAATCAGGTTCCTACCCCTCCTATAGGGCCCTTGTACCAGCTATTATCTCTTCCAGGAATGCTTTTCCTTCAGACATTCACAGGCAGAATACCCTTATTTTCTTCAAGTATCTTCTCAAATGCCACCTTTTCAATGAGGCCTACAAGCCACCTAAAAACTCAATTGTTCTAGAATTCATACACACTTTTTGCTAGCTGTTTTTTTCTCACTTTTATCTTACTACTTATGGCCTTCTAATCTACTAAGTATTTTACTGATTTTGATATGTACTGTTTATGGCCAGACTTCCCCATGATAAAATGTTAACTCTGGAAGCAAGGATCTTCCATTTGTTCTATACTTAATCACAAATACTTCTTCTTAATTTGGAGTATAACTGCTTTTCCATGTGTGTTAGTTTCTGCTGCACAAAAAAGTGAATCAGCTACATGTATACGTATATCCCCTCCCTCCTGAGTCACAGTCCCTCCCCACCCCCAGCCGTCTAGGTCACCACAGAGCACGGAGCTAAGCTCCCTGCGTTACAGAGCAGCTTCACATTAGCTATCTATTTTATGTATCATAGTGTATATATGTCAAAGCTACTCTGTCCATTTGTCCCACCCTCCCATCACAAATACTTGTCAGAGTTCCTGGCATGGACTAGGCACTCAACAAGTAATTCTTAAACATGTGAAACCAACGAGTAAAACTCCTATAGAAGAGAAAATATGTTATATCAGTGACAATCTGAGTTATCTAACAAGCAGGGCCATGGAATATGTCTCAGAGGGAGTGATATTAAGACTGAGATGCAAATAATTAGAGGTAGTTAGATAAGCAGAGTTGGGGGCTGGGGAGTAGATCTTCTCAGAGGAAACAGTGCAACAAGGCCCGTTGGTAAAAAAAACCATTAGGAAAAACTGAAATGAATTAATATGACTGGGGCTAAGGAGAGCAATTGAAGGGATGATGAAAAACTATTAGTGAAGACTGAAAGAAATTTACTATGATTGGCACTTAGGATAGCAACCAAAGGAATGGTAAAATGTAGGACTAAAAATAAAAGAAGGAATTATTTTAAAAAGATACTTAAAAGTGATCATGTAATTTATTTTCTAAATGAGGGTATTCTTAAGAATCAAAGTGGATTTCTCTTCATAATGACACCAGGACAATGTATACAATTTGGTACTGTCCTGGGAAAACAAGGACTGCTTCAAGTAAAAAGAAAGAGAGAGAGATTTTGGTTATCAATTGTAAACCATTTTATAGTATAAAATTTAGAATTTTTTCCCAATGGCTAGTAGGAAGAAATTAAAAATTAATGCAGGAGTGTGATTATAACATAATGTAAAGACTGCTACTCTGGTAGCAAGGTGGAGAGGAGTGCAGGGCAGCAAGGCTGGAGGCATGGAGAAGAGACTGAGGGGATTCTGCAGTGGAAGGGCAGGATGACGGATACCCAGGCCCACCAAACTGAGCGTGGACATGGCAATGGACAACTTTAGAGGCCACTTGGTTAAACTTAGTGGAATTCAGTGAAATACAAAGTATAAGAAGAGAAGAATAGTGAAACGTTAGAATTCTGTCATTACAAATAAAAGGATGATGGTATCACATTTTTTAGCAAAAAAAGAAAAAAACGAAGGAGGAAGTTGTTTTGAATGAATATAGAAAGATTAGCTCCATTTGAATATACCACATTGGTTTTTCCAATGCTTGTTTGATTTTTCCATATAGCCCGTGGACAGTTTAATATGTTGCTGTGAAAACAGATTTAAGGTCATGATTTAGCCAAGGGGATCATCAATTTATGGAGAAGAATCTTTGAGAGCAGACGCAACAATTTAGGGAAAATGAATGTACAGGGTGCAGAGGAAATAGCACTAGAGCATTTTAAGAAGAACATGGTCAATATTTCATAGGCTGTGATGATTTCACTGGATTTAGAGTAGAGCAGTGGCCTTGCCAGAGCAGTTTCAGTGATATACTGGGTGCAAATTTCAAATTTCTCTAACTGGTAGAGACATGAGATAATGGTAAGATTTCAAGCCAGCAACTGAAGACAACACTTGAAATTTATCTGTGAAGATGTCAAGGCATGAGGTCCAGAAGTGTGTGTGTGTGTGTGTGTGTGTGTGTGTGTGTAGATAGAGACATGAAGAGAGTCAGAGAGAGAGAGAAGCAGGGAGGAAGAACGAATTGGTGATTAAAAAAAAAAAATCCAAGTAATGAGGATTAATAAAAAAGTGAAGTCCCTAAGAGGGAAATGGAGAATGGCTTGTTGAATAAGTGAAGGTATTTATATTAAAATATTATAAGCTAAAAAAAGGAACACATTTTCCTTGTGATAGAAACTCAGTGCATGTAGGTTTGTGTGTGGTTTGGTGACAAAATTTAATGGAAGTTCTTATTTGTCTGAATCTTTTTTAAAAAAAAATTTCTGTGTCACAGAAGCCAACTTCAGTAAGAATTAGATAAAAGATTGGGGAATTTGGGGAAACAGAGAGAGAATCTGAAAGAGCCATTATTAATAACTGAATGCAGAAGTTACAAAGAAATACAGAAGTGTCTGGTGTTTATATTCTAATCAGATATATGAAACTGTTGTTAGAAGTTTTGAACTATTTTAATTTCTTACCAGTTTAACAGATTAGAAATTTTGTTCTGTATATTTAGTTATTTAGTTATACCAAGTTTGTAAGGCACACAAGTATATTTTAAATTTGACTTTGGAATTTTGAGAAAAACAAATATAGTTGTTATTCTTTTTAAAGAAGGAAATTAATTACATTCTCAAATTTATTTATACTTACCCATGCTGGCAATTATGCTATGTACAGGCAATCTAGACGGTCCGTGATAAAATGACCTTGGTACATTGCTTTTTTTCTGATGGTCGTGGTTTTTAAATGCTGAATTCTCTTCTTTGGTAATATTAATATAAAAACATGTATCTGTGGCATTCATAATATATCGAGGACCTGGATTCAGCAAAATGTTTTTATTATCTTCTCTCCTAATACCAATCAAGCAGACACCAAACCTTAATTTAAAAAAGAAAATAAAGGAGTTTAAGTTTAAAGTTCAGCAAAGGTCTTAGTTTTTTAAGCTTGAATATTAAGAAAATAAGTAAACTATTAAAAGGCAAAGGGAAATTAAAACCTCAAATAGGAAGATTTTAAAGCTTGAAAAGATCTTATAAATTCAAAGTTCTTGTTTTTATAGAAGAAAACAAACCAAAAAAACCAATATCGTTAGTGTGTTGTGAAATCAACTTGGATACTTAAGACTATGTGTATATATATATATATATATATATATATATATATAAGAATGGAATAAAAGATAAAAGAAAACATCAAAGTAAATATCACTTAGTAAGGGCAATTTTTTGGGGGGGGGTAAATTTTGTATGTATACTGGGTCTTACCATCAAATGTATATCTTAATTTGGCCCAAAAAATAAAACAGCATTTTAATTAACACTTTAAAATTTAAATCTATACAAAAGATTCATTTTCTTGTGAATTTCTACAGCATTAAAATGTTATTAAAGAAAATTGAAAAGATGCTAATCTGATCACAGGACCACAGTCATGTCTAACTCAGTAAAACTAAGCCATGCTGTGTGGGGCCACCCAAGGCGGTCGGGTCATGGTGGAGAGGTCTGACAAAATGTGGTCCACTGGAGAAGGGAATGGCAAACCACTTCAGTATTCTTGCCTTGAGAACCCCGTAAACAGTATGAGAAGGCAAAATGATAGGATACTGAAAGAGGAACTCCCTAGGTCAGTAGGTGCCCAATATGATACTGGAGATCAGAGGAGAAATAACTTCAGAAAGAATGAAGCGATGGAGCCAAAGCAAAAACAATGCCCAGTTGCGGATGTGACTGGTGATAGAAGCAAGGTCTGATGCTGTAAAGAGCAATATTGCATAGGAATCTAGAATGTTAGGTCCATGAATCAAGGCAAATTGGAAGTGGTCAAACAGGAGATGGCAAGAGTGAATGTCGACATTCTAGGAATCGGCGAACTAAAATGAACTGGAATGGGTGAATTTAACTCAGATGACCATTAAATCTACTACTGTGGGCAGGAATCCCGTAGAAGAAATGGAGTAGCCATCATGGTCAACAAAAGAGTCAGAAATGCAGTACTTGGATGCAATCTTAAAAACGACAGAATGATCTCTGTTCATTTCAAAGGCAAACCATTCAATATCATGGCAATCCAAGCCTATGCCCAACCAGTAACGCTGAAGAAACTGAAGTTGAACGGTTCTATGAAGACCTATAGGAACTTTTAGAACTAACACCCAAAAAAGATGTCCTTTTCATTATAGGGGACTGGAATGCAAATGTAGGAAGTCAAGAAACATCTGGAGTAACAGGCAAATTTGGCCTTGGAGTACGAAATGAAGCAGGACAAAGGCTAATAAGAGTTTGGCCAAGAGAACGCACTGGTCACAGCAAACACCCTCTTCCAACAACACAAGAGAAGACTCTACACATGGACTTCACCAGATGGTCAACACTGAAATCAGATTGAATATATTCTTTGTAGCCCAAGATGGAGAAGCTCTATACAGTCAGCAAAAATAAGACCAAGAGTTGACTGTGGCTCAGATCATGAACTCCTTATTGCCAAATTCAGACTTAAATTGAAGAAAGTAGGGAAAACCACTAGACCATTCAGGTATGACCTAAATCAAATCCCTTATGACTATACAGTGGAAGTGAGAAATAGATTTAAGGGACTAGATCTGATAGACAGAGTGCCCGATGAACTATGGACAGAGGTTCGTGACATTGTACAGGAGACAGGGATCAAGACCATCCCCATGGAAAAGAAATGCAAAAAGGCAAAATGGCTGTCTGAGGAGGCCTTACAAATAGCTATGAAAGGAAGGGAAGCAAAAAGCAAAGGAGAAAAGGAAAGATATTCCCATTTGAATGCAGAGTTCCAAAGAACAGAAAGCCTTCCTCAGTGATCAGTGCAAAGAAATAGAAGAAAACAACAGACTGGGAGAGACTAGAGATCCCTTCAAGAAAATTAGAGATATCAAGGGAATATTTCAGGCAAAGATGGGTTTGATAAAGGACCGAAATGGTATGGACCTAACAGAAGCAGAAGATATTAAGAAGAGGTGGCAAGAATACACAGAAAAACTGTACAAGAATGATCTTCACGACCCAGATAATCACAATGGTGCATTCACTGACCTAGAGCCAGACATCCTGGAATGTGAAGTCAGGTGGGCCTTAGAAAGCATCACTATGAACAAAGCTAGTGGATGTGATGGAATTCCAGCTGAGCTATTTCAAATCCTGAAAGATGATTCTGTGAAAGTGCTGCACTCAATATGCCAGCAAATTTGGAAAACTCAGCAGTGGCCAAAGGACTGGAAAAGGTCCGTTTTCATTCTAATCCCTAAGAAAGGCAATCCCAAAGAATGCTCAAACTACCGCACAATTGCACTCATCTCACACGCTAGTGAAGTAATCCTCAAAATTCTCCAAGCCAGGCTTCAGCAATAGGTGAATCAAGAACTTCCAGATGTTCAAGCTGGATTTAGAAAAGTCAGAGGAACCAGAGATCAAATTGCCAATATATGCTGGATCACTGAAAATGCAACAGAGTTCCAGAAAAACATCTATTTATGCTTTACTGACTATGCCAAAGCCTTTGCCTGTGTGGATCACAATAAACTGTGGAAAATTCTGAAAGAGATGGGAATACCAGACCACCTGACCTGCCTCTTGAGAAACCTGTATGGAGGTCAGGAAGCAACAGTTAGAACTGGACATGGAACAACAGACTGGTTCCAAATAGGAAAAGGAGTATGTCAAGGCTGTATATTGTCACCCTCTTATTTAACTTATATGCAGAGTCCATCATGAGAAATGCTGGACTGGAAGAAGCACAAGCTGGAATCAAGATTGCCGGGAGAAATATCAATAACCTCAGGTATGCAGATGACACCACCCTTATGGCAGAGAGTGAAGAGGAACTAAAAAGCCTCTTGATGAAAGTGAAAGAGGAGAGTAAAAAAGTTGGCTTAAAGCTTAACATTCAGAAAACTAAGATCATGGCATCTGGTCCCATCACCTCATGGTAAATAGATGGGGAGACAGTGGAAACAGTGTCAGACTTCATGTTTTGGGGCTCCAAAATCACTGCAGATGGTGATTGCAGCCATGGAATGAAAAGACGCTTACTCCGTGGAAGGGAAGTTATGACCAACCTAGATAGCATTAAAAAGTAGAGACATTACTTTGCCAACAAAGGTCCGTCTGGTCAAGGCTATGGTTTTTCCAGTGGTCATGTATGGATGTGAGAGTTGGACTGTGAAGAAAGCTGAGTCCTGAAAAACTGATTCTTTTGAACTGTGGTGTTGGAGAAGACTCTTGAGAGTCCCTGGACTGCAAGGAGATCCAACCAGTCAACCCTAAATGAAATCAGTCCTGGGTGTTCATTGGAAGGACTGATGCTGAAGCTGAAACTCCAGTACTTTGGCCACCTCATGCGAATAATTGACTCATTGGAAAAGACCCTGATGCTGAGAGGGATTGGGGGCAGGAGAAGGGAACAACAGAGGATGAGATGGCTGGATGGCATCACCGGTAGATGGGCATGAGTTTGAGTAAACTCCAGGAGTTGGTGGTGGACAGGGAGGCCTGGCGTGCTGTGATTATGGGGTTGCAAAGAGTCGGACAGGACTGAGTGACTGAACTGACTGACTGAACTGAAAGTCAATACTGGGCTTCCCTGGTGTCTCAGACAGTAAAGAATCTGCCTGCAATACAGGAGACCTGGGTTTGATCCCTGGATCAGGAAGATCCCCTGGAGAAGGGAATGGCAACCCGCTCCAGAATTCTTGTCTAGAGAATTCCATGGAGAGACAAGCCTGTTGGGCTATAGTCCATGGGGTTGCAAAGAGTTGATCATGACTGAGTGAATAACGCTTTCACTTTCAAAGTCAATATTCCTATTAAATTATACTTTATACCCAAGAATCTTAACTTGTAGAGACCAAACAAAAGGTGAGAATTTAAATGTCTCAATAATTACGATGATAATTCAAAAATACTCCAATACATGAGCACCAATATGGGTTACATTATGGAAAACTGGATGTAAATTAAAATTTTAATTCCATTCTGAGATGGAAACATACTTTTTGTGCGCATGGAAAGAAGCATATGTGAAGCTCTTTCCTTCATATTCAGCAAAAAATGTGCTTTCTTCCAGAACGATGTGGTACACTTCATTCCCAGAGCATCTGCCGTACACTTTCTGCCACTGTTCTGGCGACTGCTGGCCTTCTCTGCAACAAAAGCACACACACATACACACGCACAGAGACAAACAGTGAATGTGGCTCAAAGCACAGCCGCTGTCCTACATAATCCAGAGTTTCCCAACTGCAGGGAGGAACAAGCACAGTTCAAAGAAGTATCTGTGTGGTGCTCGAAGTGATGACGTGATCACCAAACATTTGCAATGAGACACCTACAAGAATTTCAAAACTACAGAATATAGACACTTGATAAATGGCAAATTCATTAAAAGAATTTCACAACCCAATTAATAAAAGCATTTATTGTGATCGTGAACCAGTGAGCTGTAGCAATTGAATTTTAGACTTTTTACGTATATCATGTCAGGCACAGCCTTTATATAATCCTTGTCTTATAGTCTCGATAACATAGCCCACTTCATCCCATTTATAATACTGCTTGGCCCCTGTATGTTTTTGACTTTGCTTTGCATTTAAAATTATAAGTATATATATACATCTCAATTTATCAGTTTGATTTCATAAAAAAATATATATATATATATACTCTTTATTTCTGCCCAAATCAGAACAATGGCGTTTTCCCAATTGTGTAGAAGTTAGCAAAAGATATGTTTTGTGATAAAAGAATTTCTGAAAGAGATTTCCAAAAGTACTTTTTAAAAAGAAGATAAGTTTATCACAGAAAATGTAGTTTCTTTTTTTTTTTCCTCCCTAGAATAGTCTGCTCAGTGGCTTTAGAAATGTATAAAAAATTCAACTTATGCAAAATTTATTGTGAAGATACACGAACGATTTCCCATTTTGTACAATAAATTCCACTTGGTGAATAAAGTTTATGAACTGTGTTAAGTACAAGAAATACACATTTTAGAATAAATGAGATACATTTATAAAAATCAAAAATATTTCACCATAATCTCTGTAGTTTCTGCACAGATTAAAGTCATATCTATCATATTTTTAACTGAGCTTTGTTTGGAGGGTTACTGGGAGATAAAACATTGATAAACATTTTCAAAGTTTCAATAAATTTTTAAAAAAAGTATATTTTCCAGGTATGTTTCATGTGTACTTCAGTCCTTCTTGAAAGTGAAAGTGAAAGTTGCTCAGTCCTGTCCAACTCTTTGTGACCCTATAGTCTGTGGAATTCTCTAGGCCAGAATACTGGAGTGGGTTGCCATTCCCTTCTCCAGGGGATCTTCCCAACCCAGGAATCAAACTGGGGTCTCCTGCATTGCTGATGGATTCTTTCCCAACTGAGCTATCAGGGAAGCTTAAGACTTGAGACCCTGGGCTTTGGAGTCTGACTGCCTGATCTGAACCCTAACTCTGCAATCTTGGGTGAGTTATTTAACTTCTCTATGATACTTTACTTCCATAACAAAACATTATCCATGTTACTGGGTTGAATTAAATGAGATAGTACAAATAAATCATTTAGCAGATTTTTGGGAGTGTAGTAATCTTCAGGAAGTGTTAGTTTACATTATTATTTTGCTGGTATATCTTCTTCATTGCTGAATTTTGGAGCCACTTTCAACATTCCTAGTCAACAATATGAACAATATTACTCTCAAAACTTTACCCTTTTTTTCTATAATATTAATATATATTTGGAAATAGGAAAACATAAAACAAAACACATTTGACTATGGAATACATATGGCTACATACTGTTTCCTAAGAATGAGTGTTCTTGGTGGAGAACACCTTTCCTTTGACAAATAAAAACAAAGCTATCTTTGATATGTACCATACCGCTGCTTGGCAAAGACAGGATCCATTTAAAGGGCTGAAAACAGGAGAGAAGGTGCCAGTAATTCATCAGGGTTTGTTTGGTACTGAAAGGCGCATAGGGTCAAATAATAGTCTCATAAGGGCACTAACAGCTGTTCAAGCGAATCACAAATCGAATTCCAGCAGCTGAAATGGAAATGCAATGTGGTAACTTGGAAGGAAACAGAAAAGGAGGGATTTGGACAAGGATGACTGTAATGAATTTCCTTAAATCACTTGCTTGTCTTCATGCTATTTCATAATGGCACCTTTTTACCAAATGTTTTTTAATGAGTCTCTAAGTTCAGCTAATTGTAAATATACAGAATTTTTCCTTTTAACTTCATGTTAATTGCTTGAGAAATGTTGGAACTTAGCCACTCCATCTTCTACTGATGGGTATGTCTGGGTCTCACTTATTAATTCCTACATGAAATATTTATGTGCCAAGAAAAGTTCTAGATTTCAAGGCTAAGGCAGTTGACAAAAGGGCAGAAATGCTTTCTTTCTTGAAGCCTCTAGTGGAGGAAAACTGGCAATGAAGCAAATTATGTGTTGGAAGTGGTAAGTAGTAGGGAGAAAAAAGAGAGGGAAATTTTCAGGGGTGGGTTGGAAAATAAATGCATAATTGAAGTCCTCCCTGAGACAATGACATCTAAGTGAAAATCCTGAGAAGAGGGAGAGAGGTAGCGATAGCAGAGAAGACTGTTTCAGGCAGAAGCAATAGCAAGCGCTTCCCTGGGGCTGAGAAAGAGCAGGGTATCCAGTTCCCCTGGGTTGAGGGAGGAGGAGGAAATGAGGCCAGAGGAATAACTGGCAGGGAAACATGTCACACAGGGATTTCTAAAATCTTGCGATCATGTTGGGCTTTATTGGGAAAATCTGCAAAGATTCTGATTTATATTTTGCAAAAAAATCCCTCTGGTCATTGTTCTGAGAACAGACTGAAGCAGTGACAATGATCAGTGAGGATTTTATCACGATGATCCAGCCAGAAGGTGATGGCTTTGGACCAGGGGAGATTCTGGGCATGTTCTGAAGGTGGATCTGGGTGTATTTGCTGATGGAAAAGAAAAATAGGAATAAACACCTTAATGACCGAATGGCCATCAGAAATACAAAAATTAAATGATCGAATGAGTGAATAAATAAATAAGTTCCATACAGCTAAAAGTGAAAATGCAAGAACTAATGCTTAGTGAGCATCATGGGAAATAGCAAATATAAAATGTTCGAAGAATTAAATAGCTTAGGTAGGGTATTTAGTGAACTAGGTCCTAGGGAGAAGATAGGTAAATCAGAGATCATATATGTGGGCTTCAAAAACATTTGAAATAAAAAACATTTGGAATGCTAGGTTCATGGATGCTCATGATAATATTCTTATGTTTTTGAGTGTCTGAAACAGATTTTAAAAATGAAATGCATGTTCACAAAAATAAAGAAACAAACCAAAACTAGTAGTGAGGATTTTAAGTTTTTGTTGATATAATTTTTCATTGCTATCTTTCAAAGCAGAAGTATAGGGTATATTATATACCTCCACCCCTCTTTACCAATATTTTGAGATTAACATTTAATTTAGGCAGAAACTAAAATTTTCCCTTCATACTATGATGAATGTATCAACTTTTTTCCAGATGGCTACCCAGTTATTCAATGTATTGAATAGTCCATTTTTTCACCCACTGATTTAAAATAACTCTGTTATCAAACACTGAATTCCTAGGTGCCTATGGGCTTCTATCTCAACTTTCTAGTCTGTCATGTTGATTTACCTTTGTCCATTCCCTAACCCTACACTATATCAACTATTTTAGGTACAAAATTGTTCTAAAATACATCAGGGTAATCCCTCTCTTTATTCTCCTTCAAAATTTTTCTTGCTATTTTGGTTTCTTTATTTTTCCATATGAACTTAAAATCAGCCTGATTACTTGAAAAAGAGTACTGTTGATATGATTATTGGAATGATTAATAAATCTGGGTGAAACTGACATCTTTGTGATACTGACATAACTTCATTTGTATGCTTATAACTTGTCTCTTTCTGCCACCATCTCTCACTCAGCATGAAGCAGAATGTAATCACTATAACTTCTCAGACCACTGTCTATCTTTTTTTCTGTGGGATCTCCAGTAACTGGAGCATTTTACAGAATACAGTGAAGTGAGTTCAAAACATATTTGTTTAATACCAGAATTTGATTCTTCTGACAACCTTTAAGGTGCACGATAGTGTTATGCCCATCACATAGATAAAGAAACTGAGGATCAGTGGTTTCAAGTCTTTGGTCTTGCCAGCATGAATAGAAGAGTCTGTGACAAACACTGCCCTTTATTCAGAAGCTTCAGTTCTGAATACTCCAATATTCAGTGTGAGTGTGCAGCTGTTCTATTTCTTTTCTTTGGGCTACTAGAATTTGAGAGCCAAATTTTACTCTAACCTTTATTAATAATAAAGGGCATTTCATAGCCTATAGATTTGTTTAAAAAACAAAGCATAAACCTCTTGTTTTCCACTTACCATTCTATCCTTATTTTCTTTCATCTTTTCCTATTTTATGTATCTGGGCAGACTTAATTCAAGATTATTTTTTAATGAAACAAAAATAATCATACAGCTGAGTAAATAATCTATTTCCATTTTATACAAGAGAATTCTACCACTTAAACAACTCTTGAATGCACCACTTACCCTTTTCTCCATCAACTCTTAACACTCTTAAAATAGTCCCACCCCATTTCCTTGCCTTTTATATAGATTGGTGCTACAATAAGAGTGAATTTCAAAATCCCAAGTCACTTCAGGTCACTTTCCTGTTAAAAATAATTAAAGAGTTTCCTCCTCCCATTTGAAAAAGGTAAACTTTCTTACCATCACTACCAATCCCTCCTGACCTATACCATGCCCGTCTTCCAAATTTCATTTGTCATTTCTGTCTTCTTCCTCTTGGGTGCTCCAGCAGACTTTAGTTTCCCCTGATTAAGAAACTCTCTTATCCAAGTCTTCTAGCCTGTTCCTTCTTCTGCCTATGCCCTCCTCATTCTTGGACCCACAGTTCAGTCATTACTCTTTCAGCCATGCAGTGGCAGACTTCATGATAGTATAACATTAAATTATATTAACTAATCCTTAATGTCTTGCTTCCTTGTGAAATAGGCTCCATGGGACAAAGGATCATCTCTTGTTTACTATGCTATCTCTGAGACAAGAGGTCTGGTCTGACAGAGTAATTCTTAATAAA